ACACACACACACACACACACACACACACACACACACATTCCTAATTGGGGAAAACTGCAATCAACTTCAGGGGAGGGCTGTTGTTTAGGAACCTGAGGTCAATCCTGACTCTGCTGCATATTCACTGACTGTGTGGCCTTGCCAACTTCCTTTGGTTCCCAGGGCACAATTAAACTATTGTAAAATGAAAAAACTCATCCTGACAAGGTGAGGGCCTGGTATGACTGAATGCACTCTCCACATGAAGCTGGCTCTGGACAGGCCACCATGGGGACTCAGAAGTCCAGCGAGCGGTGCTTAGGCTTGTGTGACTAGCTTTGCTTAAGAAAGCTCCTGTTTCCTGAATGATTGTAGATGAGAAAGTGGAGGCTCAGAGAAGTGATGCCTAGTGGAACCTGGGACCGCCATCCCACGTCCACGCATGCATGCATGCATGCCATTGAGCAAGGTCAAAGTTTCACAAGGCAGAACCAGGAGAGGGGTGGTCCATGCTCGATGGTGAGTTCCCGGTCTCTGGAGTGTGCACGTCCATGCTGAGCAGAGCTCCCCAGGAGAAGAGGCCAGGTCCTGCAGTCCAGCCCTTCCCAGGACAGGAGGGGTAAGGGTGACCGAAGGGGCGTGGCTGAGGGGAGGGGGCGTGGCTGAGGAGAGGGGAGGCCGCGCCGCCATATTCATTCCCGCCCGCGGACCGCGGCGCAGCCAGCATGAGTACCGCTGCTTTCCACATCTCCAGCCTGCTGGAGAAGATGACGTCCAGCGACAAGGACTTCAGGTGCGCCCTGCGGCGGCCCGGGGCTCCTTTTCAGGGGCCTCAGCCCGTTCTGGCCGCCCCCCCGGCCCCTTGCAGACCCCCGCGGGTGCCCCCGGCCTCTTCGCCTGGGCCTGGCTGGGCCTGCTGCCCTGCTGCAACAGCCCCGCCCCCAACCTCTTCCCGCCTTTGCCGAGCTGGGCCCTCAGGTCCCCTACCCCGGGGCCCCCCAGGCCCTCCGATGAAGTTCCCATCCGCTTCTCCTTGGGTCCCAGTGCTGACCTCCTTTGACCCGCACTAAAATAGCCCCCCACTCCGCGCCACCTCCATCCTAGGGCTATCCCTTTCTGATACCCGAACTTCTACCCCGTCTCTAGGTTACCCCATCCTCCCAGCCTGTACCCCTGCCGGGTCTCCTAAACCCGAACTTTTCTTTCTTTCCGCTTTTTTCTCTTCATCCCCTCCCTCTTCTCCCCGGCCCATTACCATCCCATCCTTCTCTTTCCCTCCTCTCCCGAGATGTTAGGTTAAACATGGTTTAGAGGCAGGAAAGAAAGGTTGGGGTGAGGGCCTTGTCTCTCCTCCATTCTCTTTCTCCCATCCTTCTCTCCGAGCGTCCCAGAAACAGCGGAACAGAGCCGCCAAGAAGGATGGGAACATCTGGAGCAGCGCCCTATCTTGCAGGGGAAACAGGCTCAGTGACAAAGAATGGTTGGCGTATGATCCTATAGCCAGTTCTGTACCTCCAAGGTGATGGGACACTGTGCCTACTGAGTCTTCTGTCCGTTTTACAAACAGGGAAACTGAGGTTTGGGGGTACGAAGGGCCTGGGTACAATGCCAAAGGTAGGACCAAGCAGAGGTGGAAGTCATAGTGATGTCCGGAGTCTAGCCTGGAGGGGCCTGTAGCCTGCTCACGTGGTCTGACCCCTCCTTTGTCCTGTAAATCTATTCCTCAAAATCTCTTTGGGGGGGGGGGCAAGCCCCATGGTGGTAATAGGGCTTTGGACCCTTAGCCCTGGCTTCAGATCTTGGCAGCCATAACTTACTGGCTCTATAAGTGATGGACAAATTACTCCACCCCCTCTGAACTTTAGCTCCTGTTTATGGTGTAGGCACCAGTTAAGTGCTTTGTGAATGGTGAATGGCCGGTGTGATTCTGCACACTCTCTCCGCACCTTGACTGAGCATCTCATCTTCACTGCTGGCTCCCACTGAGTTGTTACCAGGATGCCTCTGCACTCCATGCAGGACCAGGCACATCTCTCTGTGTTTCTGCCTTGGTCTCCTGTGGTTGGTTGCCTGTGCAGGGAGACAGGGTAGGTCCTGTGGAGTGTTCTTTTGTCCCCTCCTTCCTGTTCTCCAGAGGCCTGGAGGGGCTTTGGTTTACATGTCCTGCCAGAACCGAGGGACCATCTCCTGGGCCTCTGAATCGGGGAGTTGGCCCTTTCAGCCTGTCCCTGCCAGCAGCCTCGAGGACACTTAAAACCAGCCTGAGCATATGAGAATAGCGTCTATTTTTAAAAGTCTGAATACCAGGAGGCTGAGTCCCCTGGCCAGCTGTCCAGGCACCATGTGGCCAAGTGTCCCAATGGTGCTGCCTCTCAGATTTCAGGAGACCATGGCCTGTGGTTCCCAGAGGGAAGTGACTGACTACTGTTCCAGGTTAGGGACAGGAAGCCTTGGTTCCCAGTTTTGTTGGGGCTCAGACTCTGACAGGGAAAACCAGGGGCTCAAGAGATTAGGCAGGAATTTCTGAATCTTTTTGTGGTAACACAATACTGTTTGAGGAGGCAGGAGTTCCATGTCACGCTGTTCTCTGGTGCTCTGTAACCTCTCGGAGCCTGCTTGTCTTGGGTTGACCTATTAAAACCCTCAAGGAAAGCCGAGCGGTGGTGGCGCACGCCTTTAATCCCAACACTCAGGAGGCAGAGGCAGGCGGATCTCTGTGAGTTTGAGGCCAACCTGGTCTACAGAGGGAGTTCCAGAACAGCCAAGGCTACACAGAGAAACCCTGTCTCGAAAATAAATAAATAATTCAATAATTCAATAATTCAATAATTAAGATAAAACCCTCAAGGATGCTGTGGGAGAGGGGCAAAGAAAATTCCCAGAGTTAAGGAGGCAGCTGGCTAAAATTTACCCCACTGAGAGAGGCAAGGCAAGTCTGTGTACTTAAAACCCCACTCTATTTTGGAGCCCTAGCCTATCAAGTTACCACCACCACCCCAGCGCTGTGGTGTCTCTGAGGGTGATGTCTGCAGAACTCAGTGTCTGAAGTGCTGGGGCTTATTTGTGAATGTTGATTTCGGGGTTCGGGTTTGCACGAGGCCGTTTGACTCTAAGGTCTGTTGAGCAGGAACTCCCTCCGGCCTTCACTCTGCTCCCTTGTCAGGCCTGTTTTTTCCTAAGCTTGGCGTGTCAGAGGTGAAGCTGCTGGGTGCCAAGCATGTGGAC